GTTGTTTTGATTGGTAGATTCCAAATCCCATTATGTTCAAACAATTCATGCTCAACAAAAGGAAAACACCTTGTGAAATAACCCTATCAAGAAATGCAATTGGGAGTTTTCTTGTAAGAGAAAATCTAAAATTGGTTTTGTGCCCAACATTGTAGCATTGTGGACCCCGATTGGGAAATGCTGTTATATGCGCTTTAATAATAACAATAGAAAAGTAGAGTCTCTCACTGAAAACACGTTCAACAATTTATGTCAGGGCATAATAAGTTGCGTAAGCGTTTCCGGACCGGATATATTCCATTTATTGCAAGAGAATAGCTTCTTCAAACAATAGGTTGCTGGTGCAATGACTTATTCGGAGTGAAAGACGTATCAAATAATCATATTGCATTTCTTCTTTAGAAGTTGATCTACTGAGGGCAGCCAGAAGTGAAAAGTCCGCGATCCGAGTGACAGAAAAAGTAGCGCGGACGCTTACGAAAGCACATACAATTTCGTTGGCGTTTGAACTCAAAGTCCCGCCAGAGGAGTTTGTTTCCGTATTTGCAATTTATGAAAAATCCGGACCGAGAAAGTATTTTGAAATCACTGTGAACGGACGACAGGACAAAGGTGGGTATCGTATATAACCCATGTGGAAAATACGCGAACGAGAAAAGCTTATATCGGCGACCACCACAAAGCTTAGCTTACTTTAGCCGCGATAATAATGCAAATGATAAGGCAGAATTAAACTCTTAGTTAGTACTTGTCTAGCTGGTGGGCGTAACGCGTCCGCCCCCAATGTTAAAAATTTGTGTTCTGAATGCCCCTAATTTGCGTTTTTTAGCGTCTTCCTATGCTTTTGCTTATTTGCTTAGCCTGTGTTAGGTAATCGAGAACTGATAGGTCTTTGTCAAAATGCTAACATTGGGCTTAACTTACTTAAGACTCACTAATAATGCAGATATCGAGACAACGTTAAACTCATAGTTACTTCTTGTCATAGCTGGTAGGCTCAATGCGTCAGCCGCAATCTGTAAATTCTATCATGTTTGCAATGTTTTAGCGTTGTCGCCTTCTCGTTAACATCACGTGTTAAAGAATCAGGGTCCCGAGTGTTCTTTTCCAATGCTAACATTGTCCGAGCGATTGAATATCAATTGCTCAGAAAATAACCTAATACTACGTTTTTAGCGTTGGTATTTTGGTAAGATCAATTTCTATCCTCCTTCCACGCTTTTGCTCTGGTAGATCCTTCAGCATTTATTGCAACAAATTCCCAACAAAATTAATTTAATATTGATGTGGGGAAAGCTTCGATCATACAAAACGTCCCAAAAATATATTTGTGTCAATGTGCAGAAAGATTATTAAAACTACTTTTGTCTTTATTCCAGTTTCCATTAAGTCACGTGATGAAAGCGACGCCGATGACGACGAGTTGCACGTGACCAGTTTTCGTAAAGTTGGCATTGCTAACGGACAATGGCACACAATGCTCATTCATTTCGTCATAACGGAGTAAGTGATTTTTCTGCAATGCAGGGTTTATGTCATCATCGCTTTTTGTAGAGTACTCAGCCAATGTGGCCGCATTTTTATAAGGCGTTTTAACACTTTCACAACAAATAAGGGTCTATTTGCTGATTCAAAATGAACATGTATGCTTTGTTAAAAATTTCTCGAAGATGAAATTTCAAAATTTACCTGTATGTTAACTGACTGTGAACTTTTTTTATTCTCGAGTCGGTCAGTATTTATTAACGCTCAATTCGCCACTGTAATCCTTTAACAGGGCTTCCAAAATATTTAATTAAGATGGTGACCCCTTCCAATATATTAAAATTGGTACTCCCGAAGTTTGTGAACCAAGATGGCGGACACCGGAGCGTAGTATATGTACCAGGTTAGGGTTAAGCCATGATTTTATTTTTTCAGTTCTATTACGAAAAAAACCCGAATCGAATATATTTTCTAAACTTTTGCAATATAAAACCTACTGTGACGTAACCTGCAGAACAAGCTTCTTATATCCTAATTTTACCTGTGATTATGCGGATACAATTTTGGATCTTTTGCACAAAGCACCCGCCAATATACACCTCTGTTACTGTTCAAAATAGGAAAATTAATAATTATCCAATTAGGGCTCTGGTTGGAAATAATTTGAAATTTTGAATTTTCAGCGCAATCTTCATTCGTATCCCTTGTTTCCTTATTTTGAGCGGTAGCGGGAGTGTTTTTTAGCGGGGGCTTTGTACAAAAGATCCAAAAATTGTATCCGCATAATGTAATCACAGGTGAAATTAGGATATATATATATGGCTTGTTGTGCAGGTTACGTTACAGTAGGTTTAATATTGCAAAAGTTTAGAAAATATAGTCGAATATGCGATTCGGAATTTTTTCGTAATGCAATACTAGAATTCCATAAATATTCGAGTTTGTATAACATGAATTCATTTGTCAAGGCAATTTGCTCGAAGCAAAGCCATGCGCACTCACTCAGAAATAAAGGATATCATCTCTGAGCAAAGTTGTCAGAATGTCCAAAAGTCATGTGAAACGATATTTTGTTGCGAATGTCACCGTGAATTCTTAACGTAATTTGCCGCAATTTCAGGATAAATTTTCCGGGGTTAAATTACTTGGCAAAACTACAAAGAGTTGGCGAGGTTGTTCAAACAAAAATATTTGATTACCGAAACCACAACTGGCATCGTTAAATTGTAAATCTAGTCTTCGAAATCACTTGGATTGTGCTGAATCCTGCTGTATTATGAGCTTGATGTCTCTAGGGCTGAGCTTTCTCTAATACCAGGTCGAATCGAATATTATTTTCGAATCGAATCTCGAATACTTGAAAGATATGTAACTGTATGCGAGAACTGATTTTGTATTGTGATTGGACCAATCACAGACATATAAATTACGAAAAAACATAGAATCCATCACTCTGTCAGTTCGCTGAGTTGTTCCACACAATGAATGTTCCATCAAAGATGGCGGCGATGCAAATTTCGTTTCAACCGATTTGAATAATTTACCATTCGAAATGCCCAGCCGTAGATGTCACGGTCTGAATTACAAATCGAATAACTGTTTCTTACTTTCTCTGCGATACTGATGCCGAAATACAGAAAGTAATTTTGTTTATTTCCATATAATAACATTTATGGCGAATTTCTCAAACCATCCAACCACTGCGTTCGTGGCGTGAAATAGAATGGTATTGCGTCAGTCATCCGCAAGTTTTTCACTTTTACGCGCATATACCCATATACGAAAGAAGATTAGATTTCTAGTTTCCAAGTTAGACCGCAACAGCTAGCAGGCGGGAAAACGTGGGTTCTAAGAGTTTTGAACAGACATGGGCAAACTACGGCCCGCGGGCCAAATCCGGCCTGTTAGGTAGTTCAATCTGGCCCGCCCGATGTTGCCTCAACCAAACTGAAACCAAATTTTGATGTTGAGCTAAAAATAGTTCAAGGAATTTGTTGAGATTGGGATTAAATTTAGTTTTGGCACGAGGATCATTGTTTCCGCTTCTGCTTTTGTAACATTGTAAATATTGTCCATAAAATGTAACTTTTTACGTCACAATTACATGGCCAGCCAGTCTAGGTAGGCAAATTTTTTGGCCGGGACCCTGCAATCCTTGGTCTTACTCTTGAAGATATAAAAGCGTTCCAAGCCGATCCTCAGCCGCAATTAGCTGTATTATGGGTGCAATAGCCGTTGTGAAGATGCAAAATGTCTCGTGTAAGAACAGTAGCTTGTGGGAACTATCTTATTACTACAAACCACTAATTATGTGATCTTTTCTTTGCTTCTGTTTAGGTTAGTTGATTAGGACAATGAGGTTAGGTTATTGTCCCATCTTAACCAAGATAAACAAAATCATAGGAGACTGCTCAGGAGATTAGCGATGAGATGATAATAGGATAATGCCGTCTCGCTATACTGCTGTTTTACGATAATGCCTTGACCTTTAACTGTTTCCCTCAACGTGGAACAGTTCCAACCCCCTTTGTGATGGAATTACAGTAATTATTTAACACTTCAAACCGGTCAGTCGCCATCTGTTTTCGAAAGCATGGCCCAGACTTGACTATGTTAATTTCGTAACGCTACTTTGAGCGAACTGACATAAAATGTGGCAAGGCCAAAGAGGTATTTCGTCGCTGATCGTGTTTCGGATGCGATACAGCAACGATCAAGTTCCCGATGCGGCGACGTTCTTTGTGTTTTTGCCAGCTAGTCTGATTACAGGAAATCAAATCTTGACTTTATCGCTTTGCTGCATTCGAGCCAAACATTCCAGAAATAAACGTACCTCCGAATTTATCCAGACATACTTTTTTAAGATGAGTTGTATTTCGGACCAACGACGGTGCGATAAATAAAATGATTTAATATTGTAAACTCAGCCATTGTACAAATATCGCAACACACAGGACAAACGAACACGCATGACGGAAAGCCATGAAAGTTTCCAAAACTTTGAGACATTATGGGCAATTCAAGTTGTGAAAGATGCGCTTTTCATACGGCGCGTATATGGTCGTTTCCTTTACGTTGCGGAGAAAATAAACAATTTGTAAATGAGAAGAACATGTTAGCTTGAATATTCGGTCATATTTTTTTTATTTCGTCCTGTGTTGAGTTCATACAACTGAAATGAATAGCTGGTTAGTCTTTCCATACTGTACCCGACATGGACTGGTAATCAAATGAGAAGACTTGGGTCGCGACTAATTTGGCTTTCATGAAAAATGTCCTATTTCTTTAAACATTGTAAATATATTGAAAATTTTCAAAACTGTAACACGGTGCCAGTTTCAATCACATTTAAATTTAGAATAAGAATGAACGCGATTATGCTTATTACTGCGTATAAAATGATCGAAGTCAATATTAATTGCGGCCTAAGCTCATCTAAAAACTAGTTATATTTGATAATAAAGCTTTGACGGTTGTTAGAAAATGAAAAATTTAAAAGCGAAAAGTTAAAAGCTTGCTGTGACCAGGATTCGAACCTGGGTTATCACGGCCACAACGTGAGGTACTAACCACTATACGATCACAGCTTAACACGATTCGCCATTCGACGACCGCGGCAGAACGCTCCGAGAATTGGAATATATAATTCTCTCGAATGATTGGAAGCGCTCTCGAATTCAGCATTCGACAGTGCTGTACTGAGCATTGTGTAAACACGTGCACTACGTACCGCGTCTCCATACGCCATTTACATTTTTCTGCTAACCCCTTTTCTAGTGCATATAACACACATAACGGAAATTCAAATCAGCTGCTAAAACTTTTAAGTCAGTGCAATTGAAACAAATAACTGGCTAACTAATCCCATACCTGACATGGACTGGCCGTGTATGCCACATGATTAAGCCGGCTTACCAAATCCCATCCTAAACATGTGACAGAAAAGACCTTGTGACATAGAAAAATAAGTTAAAAAATGCGAAATGCTCTCTAATTTAGTTTAAAGATTGTGAGCAATGTTATAATACATGAATATAAATGAAAAATACGATGAGACAATCGCACACGTACAATAGTATGTACCGCGTTTCCCCGGAATAAGACCTAGTCGATAGCAAAAAATCTCTCCTACACGTTTTAAATGATTAATGTTTGAAATAATCTATGTTTAGCAGTTATTTTAAATAAAAACCTGTTAATTATAAGTAACAATATTGGTTTTCAAATTTTGTATATTCAAAAATCTCGTGATTCTCAACTTCGTACTTTTGTGTTTGATAAATGAAAATAAAATACATCCTCCCAAAATAAGCCCTAGTGAACTGGTTCTCAACCAGTGGGCCATAGAGACATTTTCAAGGGGGCCACAAGGCTATTAAAAATTACTATGATTATTGAAGAGTTTAGTTTCGTTTGTGTCATTATAGTCAAATATTTTATTGTAGTAGCAATGAATGATGCTGCTGCTTTTTATTCTAATTCCTAAAGTGAAAGTTTTTATTTTTGCAAACAGAGTCTTGTTTTTCTTGTAGTTTTTCCCTTGCATGAGAAAGTTAGTGGCCCACGAAAGAAAAAAAGATTGATAACCACTGCCTAGTGCAGGGGTGGGCAAACCCTGGCACGCGTACCAAACTTGGTTTATTTTTGCGTTGAAAGTAGCGAAGAATTGTTTTTTAATTTTGGTCGGCACGCGGAGGAATTTTGTCGTTAAATTTATCCGATTTCGGCACGCGAGCCGAGGAAGGTTGCCCACCCTTGGCCTAGTGTGAGAAAGACAATGTCCTATTTGCAGGGAAACACGGTTTGTATGTGGTCGTGTGTTTTAAACCAAAATTGACCAATCAGCATTCTCAAACCCCCTAGTCCTCACATCTGGCAAACAACCTAGGTCTACGCTTTTATAAATGCTGTTTCTCCTTCAGTTCAGGAGTTGCTGAAACTCATTTCATACTTGACTGTGCAGAGAAGGGAAGGGCCGAACACCCCTGGATCGCAGATCAAATCCGGAAGAGTCGAAACAGCACTCTGATCGTCAAACTTGGTACCAAGAGTACAATTGATATAAAGGTTCGTTTGTTCCTTCGTTTGTTCCATATTCCTGACATAGAATCACTATACTAAAGGGTCATCATTCGCCTTTTCGCTTTCAAATATGTAATTCATTTACTGATTCCGACACAGACCCAACAACAGAGAATAAAAAATATATATATATCCCAATCATTTACACATACCTATCAGTAGAGTTCACAGTTACACGACACTAACTCCCAATCCTTTCTCAATGCCTGTGTGGTAATGAATACGTATGCATATAATGCAAGGATGTTGTGGCAGGAATAAAAATACCATTTAATTGCATTTAAATACGTTCGGATCTTTTGTGCAAAGCCCTGCCACTAATGCAAAAATATGAGATTTGAGAAAAACACTTCCACCATGTTTTAAAATAATTAATTAGTAATTATTCAGTTAGGGTTCGGATTAAAAATAAGTTAAAAATTTGAATTTCTAGCGCATTTTTGGGCGGGCGGGGCTTTGTACAAAAGATCCGTTATACATTATTATATATCTCATTTTCTCGTAATTTGAATAAAATTGATTTTCTTTCAACTGTCTGGTTAAAATAAACGTCAATTGCTAAATTACCTAATTTTTCTATGAATAAACACAGTCTATTCATAATCAGACTCACATGCGAAAGGCGGTTCTACTCCATGATGAGCAACTTCCAATAGTGCGGAGGAACTATGGCGGTTACTGCACTCAGGCTGACATGGGCACAGGGTCTGATCCGACTCTGTTGGACATGATGAACAACTATGAACCAGTGTCGGAACTAATAATTCAAATCTCAGGTAAGTAAATTTTACTGAACTGCGTTTCCTGTAATACAATAATACACTAACACGGATAGTTTTAAAGTTAAATTATCGCTGTTGTTCTTGGTGGCATGGAAAATTACCTTCTCCCGCATTTTATGGACTTATCCGATTCCCAATATTTAGTACTTGGAGATGTAAGAAGTAGGTCAATTTAGGTTGGTTGGGTGCACATCACATGGTGTAGTTATCAGTGTAATTCCCTAAATTCCGAGACCCGAGTAATCCGAGTGAAGAGTCGGGTCAATCACTGAGTGGAGTTTCATCGGCTGTTAGTTGTTGAAGAGCCCGAGTCATTCCATTTCGAATAAATGACTCGAGTCACTTCGATGTATGAGTCGAAGCAATGACTAGTGCCTTGTCAACATTGGTACTGGTAACGTTACCCCGTGTCCATTACATTTGTGCGGCTCTCTCTCGCCTTTTACTCCGATTCACTGCAACATTACTTTCAGATCTTGCATCGGTCCTCCGAGACATCCATGCAGGAATGAAGGCTCAAGCGATAGAGACGAAAGAGCTTCGGCGAACTTTGCAACAATGTAGTGCATGTACAGGCGAGAAAAGTAAGATTTAATATTTCTCAACTTATGAGTCGCGACCCAAAAACCTGGTCGGATAAAAATCTTCTTGGGTCGCCTTCTTTTTTAACAAACACTTGAAGCTATTGATTTAATTTTTTTTGTAAATTTTATTGTTTATTTTATATTTGTAATGAAGTGTTGCTGAATAGTAATTGAATATGTGGGAGTATCACAGCGTAAGAACCAGGCAACATCTATTTACCCACGATTTCAAAAACTCGCTGTTGGCAAACAAGTTCATCTTTCTCACTTTGAAGTGATTTATGGAAAAATAAATGTAAAATGATTGTTTAAAATTAGTCATTTAAATTTTCTTCCACAATTGCGTTTGTTATTTGAGCCTATTCTTGGGACTTGGGCTTGGGTGGTTTAAAAAAGGGTTAATAACCACTTTTCTAGTTATTGTTTGAGGCATACATGGGGCTTCCTTTTCTTTTATATAAGTGTAGCAAGTGTACTCATTTGCATAATACCAGGGTGCCTTAGCAAAATGAAATATGTTTGTTCTAAAAATCTAAATGGTTCTGATGATGATGTGCAAGAGGATTGCTGGACTTCTCGTCACCGAACGGTTCCAACTCCGGAATTCCACCTATTCCCTACCTGGACTAGTAACCATACAAGATGCCGTGGGTCAACATATGATTAAGCTTATCTACATTCATCTCATATTTTCAGGTCTGTACAGTCAACCTACTCAGCCAGTGTCGCCAACTCAAGGCCGTTCTCAAGTTACAGAGCCTCCCCAGCCTAGTATCATCAAAGTCGAGGAACCAACAGAACCCCCGGTGATAAGAAAATGCAGCAGCAACCCTTGCGATAGTCAAGTTGAGTGTGAAGATACAGAAGACGGGTTTACCTGCGGCAGATGCCCGTCGGGATTCACAGGTAAGGTGTAGAGAAGTAGGAGGAATTGCTAGTTAAAACGCTATTCCTATTGTTTGCTAATGTCTTCCGAATGAGGTACTGCCCCAAAAAACAATGGCCCGTACCGCAGCTGGCAAGCCAGGTTTCTTAGCCCGTTTATTATCTAATAAAAAGCGGTTGACATGGTTACTCCGCCTGTCGTGACTGGAGTTGCTTGCTTCCTTTGTTATGAACGATTGTTTTTATTGTTTATGTTATATATTTATTACGTCATATTTCAGGTAACGGGATTCACTGTGATGACATAGACGAGTGTGAGACGTCGTTTGATCCCTGTTCAGCCATAGCTGGCTGCATTAACACCCAGGGCGGATATTACTGCAACCTTTGTCCTGAGGGCGGATTCGAACAATCATATAAGGAGATTGAGGTGGCGGAAAGAATTATTCAGAAACAGGTATGTGTTGTTCAATTAATCGGTGGACGAAATATCCTATCCATAAATGCCTCCTAATGTGGGTTAGCGTTGAATTTTGTAGGAGTTGTCCATATTTTTTATTGGCTAAACTTCCCGTGGAATTTTCTGGTTTGTTTGTCTATGATCGAAGTTAACTCACAAACCCTCAACAAATGACTGTGTTTGGATGGGAATTAACATATGCCCAATCAGGGACGTTTCAAATTTTTCTGCTGCCCGGGGCGAGTTTCTAAGTAAGGATACTCCATTATAACCAACTTCAAAAATAATTTTGGAATAAACAACATTATAGATGTTGGTATACATAAAAATAAAGGACCTCTAGAAGTATGTGCACCAAGATGGCGCACAACCTGAACATAGTATGTGTAACAGGTTATGGTTCAGATTGTGCGTCATCTTGGTGCACATACTTCTGGAGCGTCAAAATAAATAATGTAAAAGTAAAATGTTTGTAATATTATTATTTAAAACATACTAAGCAACAAACTCAGCCTTATAACGTGCTGTTAGGGCGGCTGCCTCCATGGCCCCCCTTTAGAAACGCCCGTGTGTCCAACGAATACTTTGTCTTTGTGTATGTAAATCTGAGCTGCATGGATACTATTGTAAGAATCAGAACAATTAGATTGAGTAGTTCAAATTTCTTGCATCACACTTTCATAAATTATATTCTGTAACGTTTCTTCGACTAAAACCAGACTTCTTGTGATAGGATAAGCAGTTTATTTGGGCCTGACGAAACGCTTCAGAAAATTTTTTTAAACGTCTCAATA